TTTTCCCGAAGTCGCAAAAGTATGACGTCACAACATTCTGATTGGTCACTTGCAATGTTGATCCTGGAACAACATTTACTACGTTGATCTGGGAACAACACCAACACAACGATATCAGATTGTGCATTGATCTTTCAGCGACCCTCTGGCAACTTCTGGCTGTGAAGGAAAACAAATGTGTATTCTCCAACCGGTTGGTGAATGGTTGCTTTGAGTCATTAGGTGTCGGTTACTGCAACAAAAACCTCCTTGTGATTGCTTTAGGAGCTAGCAGGTTGCCAAAGTCAACAGCAGTTTGCATGGAAGCTGCTGACTTGTCTGCAAACACTTGCAAACTGCTTGCCAAAGCGTAGTAATGTTGAAGAGCATGATGTTTCAAAGTTAACTTTGAAACTTTTAATATGTGCTAGTCGTAGCAGTATTGTGTTGCACTTTTTCAAGTTTGACTACAGCTCAGAGAGTAAAGGGGCAGGGTTTGTACAGTGGTCAAGCTGGTATCTTCCATAAAACTACAGCTGGCTGCAGAAATTTACTAGAAATCAAGTCACTCGTTGTAACTGATTTCACCTGATGATAGCCAGCCACCGAAAATACTTTTCAGTCTGTGAGGATAAAATAAAATAAAAAAAAAAACAACAAAAAAAACAAAGACTTTGGCAAAGGAAAGAAAAACCAAAGCACCTGGCAAAATCTGACCGGGAATTTGTGAAACTAAAATGAAAAGATTTGATGAATCTGAGTAAAATCTGAAATGATTACAGAGTCAAGCTGTCAAAATCAAGCCAGAAATTCATGAACAAAATCTCTCATATTTGTACACTCATCGATTTTATTTCATAGGTTTATTAACATATACAGAGTAAAATAATTTTGCCTTGTGTCTACATACATGTTGGTCCTTTTTCTTCACGTCTAATAAAAAGCAAAATTTATATTTTCACTTTCAGTTTTACTTTAGCCCTGTGGGTAAAATCCTGAGAAAAAGCTGACTGATAATCAAACTGCTGAAACAAAGCCAGTTGACAACAAACTGTGGTGGTGTTGGGGGAAAAAAAAAAAATCCCCAAACTTTCATTTGCCTGGTGAAAACCCCAAACTCTTTCTGCTTCAGTAAAAAACAAGCAGACAAAGTCGACTCAATTCAGTCAATTCAAAGACTGTGGCTTATCTTTTCTAGACATATTAGATTTGGCAAGTTGGGTGTAACCACCATCTGACTTAATGAAAGAAAAAAAAGATACACATCAAATACAAACCCACAAAAACAAATTCAAGGTCATCTTATTAGATTTTCTCCTTAGCTTTCAACTTTGTCTTGCAGATTTCCTACAACTGATGACTGCGCAATCCCAGAAACCT